CCAGCTTCTTGAGGTTATCTTGAGATGATTTCGGGGCTTTTTAGTGTCCCCGCGGCCTGGTCCTCGACCAGGCCTCCACCCCAGGAAGCAGCCCGTGACAGCTGACTAACACCCAGGTACCTATTTTACTGCTAGGTAACAGGGGCATAGGGTGAAAGAAACTCTGCCCATTGTTTCTTGCCGGCGCCCGGGATCGAACCCGGGACCACAGGATCACAAGTCCAGCGTGCTGTCCGCTTGGCCGACCGGCTCCCTCAGCTCCCGGCTCCCCAGTCAGCTGATTCTGTTGCAGGTTTGGATCAGGCTAGGCCTAGTCTGAGATTCTCATTCGGCTTCTCCTTTTCTTGTGTCAGCCAGCCCTGCTTCATTTGATTACACAACTTCGGTTGGAGAGTCCCTGGATTACTTGGCAAACGCTTGAGCAGCTGTAGGATACTGAACTTGCCTGCTTGGTTGCAGGCTTGTCGGGTTGATCCATCATGAGCCATGCAGAAGACCCGCAGGGAATTACTAGGGCCTGAGGGTAATTAGTCAAGCAGGACACCTAGGCATTGGGAATGCTTACTGAAAGAACAGACACCACACATAGCCTGTAACCACATCACTATAAAGGGTGTCCATGACATGCCATATTAAACAAGGCATGTGTACACCAGCACACTCCACTCACAACCATCTAGAATGCGCCAACCCAAGACTTAACCAGAGGAATCAAGACTCCTGAAGTGTACCAGGTGAGGCTGTACCAGGTGACCTCCCAGATACACCAGAGAAGTAAATCTGTCAGTACATAAGCAGTGCAAATGAGCACCCAAGAAAAGGAGTCCTGAGTGCAAGCAGCTAAATACATAAAACAGGCCAATTCCACACTAGATGCATGATAGTGCACAGGAAAGTGCACACCCTAGTGTTTATAGTGCACATTCAAAATTTAGATACTATAGTGAACTCTCATGTAGAAATAATTAGTAAATTGAAAGAAAGTAATGACCATTTGAATAGCAAAGTTTTATGTCTTGAGGGTTTAGTGAAAGACTTGCGCAAGGATAAGAATCAATTGGAAACAAATTGCAAAGCCATGGAAGAAGAAAATAAACTCTTAAAAATAGCTTTGGAAGAAGTTAAAGTAAATTTAAACATAAATGACTACAATAGGTTAGGCAAGGAAATTCAACAGGAGAAACAGCTTTTGTCAGCACAGATGGAGGAAGTTACACAGGGAATAGAACAGTGCAAGAAAGATATGCAACTCACTTATGCACAAGTGGCCAAGGAGAAGGAAAAATAGAAGAAGCAGTAAAGGAAGTCAAACACTGCAGCAACCAAGATAAAACAAACATTAGGCTAGAAGTGAGGAAAGAATTGGCATCTAACCCGAAGTTGGTGCAAAACACAGTTGATCGGAGTAAGTCCCTGATCATTTTTGGCTGCAAAGAAAAGGCGATAACATGTAGGTCAGAAAGAGCTGTAGAAGAAGCTAAAGTAGTAGATAAAATTGTTGGCCTCGTGGAAGGTCTTACAAACAGAGAGAATGTGTGCGACTACAGGAGAATAGGCAGGTACGTAAAAGGGAAAGATCGACCTTTGAGGATCACCCTAAACGGTGCCAAACAGATGGAAGAAGTACTAAGGAATGCTAGAAAATTGCAAAGGGATGAGGATGGGAAAGGGTGGTCGTTAAGACGAGATCTTTCAAAAGAAGATAGAGAGAAGCTGAAACTGAACCTCGCCGAGGCAAAACATTTAAATGAGAGCAGGAATGAAGAAGAAATAAATTCTTTTTTCTACAAAGTGATAGGGGTAGGCAAACCAGTAAAGTGGTACATAAAGGCAAACCAACAAAATCAATAGAGAGAGGGGGAGTGAAGAATAAGGAGAGGGGGAACAAGTTCCTGAAGATTGCATACACCAACATAGATGGAGTGAGATCGAAGATACTGGAGTTAAGTGATGTAATACAGCTGCAGACACCAGACATTGTTGCACTCACGGAGACAAAACTTGAAGATGTAATTTTAAATGAGGTCATATTCCCAAGGGGCTACTCAATTTGGAGACGGGACAGAAAAATTAGGAAAGGCGGTGGCGTTGCTGTGCTGGTAAAAGAACACCTAAAGGTGAAGGAAATAATGACTGCCAATCCACAAGAAGTTGACATAATAGCACTAGAGATCTGCTATGAGGATGATAAACTAATGATGATAAATGCATATAGTCCACCGCCAAGCAGCACATGGTCAAAGGAGGAGCTAGATAGTAAACGTGAAGGTCTTATAACAATAATGAGAGAGATTATAGCGAGAGCGGATAACGATAGATCACGACTGTTGATAGTCGGTGACTTCAACTTGAAATCCATAGACTGGGAAGCATATGAAGCTAAAACAGAAGATTTATGGACCTGTAAATTTGTAGACCTCATCCTGGAAACATTCTTGTATCAACATGTTAAACAAGCTACGAGGATGAGGGAAGGGGACGTTCCCTCCATGCTAGATTTGATATTTACCAGGAAGGAGGAAGAGATATTTGACATTCAGTACCTTCCTCCCTTGGGTAAAAGTGACCATGTCTTTTTGGGAATCAAGTATGCAATGCGTTATAAGCTGGAAGAAAATAAGGAGGTTGAAGCAGTTGAAAAACCAGACTTCAGGAGAGGACATTATGGTGACCTTAGAAATTTTTTTAGTGAGTATAATTGGACAGACTTGATGCTAGGCAAGGAAGTGAATGAGATGTATGGCAAGTTTTGTGAAATATATGATAAAGGCACAAAAAAATTTATACCAAAACAGAGATGCAGAACTAGGAAACAGGATTGGTTCAATAGAAATTGCGAGAGGGCTAGAGACCGAAAGACACAAAAATGGAATCAATACAGGAAGAGGCCGAACCCCCAAACATACCAGCGATACAAAGATGCGAGAAACAACTACACGGCAGTGAGGAGAGAGGCAGAAAGAAATTTTGAAAAAGGGATTGCGGACAAATGTAAAACAGAACCAGGTCTATTCTATAAATTCATAAACAACAAATTGCAGGTAAAGGATAATATTCAGAGGTTGAAAATGGGAAATAGATTCACGGAAGATGAAAAGGAAATGTGTGAAACACTAAACGAAAAGTTCCAAAGTGTGTTTGTACAAAATGAAATCTTTAGGGAACCAGATACAATAAGAATTCCAGAGAACAACATAGAACACATAGAGGTGTCTAGAGACGAAGTGGAAAAAATGCTCAAGGAGCTCGGTAAGAACAAAGCAGCTGGCCCAGATGGCGTTTCACCATGGGTTCTGAGAGAATGTGCATCTGAGCTCAGCATTCCACTTCACCTGATCTTTCAGGCATCCCTGTGTACAGGAATCGTAGCAGACGGGTGGAAACAGGCTAACATAGTTCCAATCTACAAAAGTGGCAGCAGGGAAGATCCCCTCAATTATAGACCTGTATCATTGACAAGTGTAATAGTGAAAGTATTGGAAAAACTAATCAAAACTAAATGGGTAGAACACCTAGAGAGAAATGATATAATATCAGACAGACAGTATGGTTTTCGATCTGGAAGATCCTGTGTATCGAATTTACTCAGTTTCTATGATCGAGCCACAGAGATATTACAGGAAAGAGATGGTTGGGTTGACTGCATCTATCTGGACCTAAAAAAGGCTTTCGACAGAGTTCCACATAAGAGGTTGTTCTGGAAACTGTAAAATATTGGAGGGGTGACAGGTAAGCTTCTATCATGGATGAAAAATTTTCTGACTGATAGAAAAATGAGGGCAGTAATCAGAGGCAATGTATCAGAATGGAGAAATGTCACAAGTGGAGTACCACAGGGTTCAGTTCTTGCACCAGTGATGTTTATTGTGTACATAAATGATCTACCAGTTGGTATACAGAATTATATGAACATGTTTGCTGATGATCAGTAGTTTCAAAGCGTGAAGCAAATACTAAAATATAAAGAACAAAACACAAGCAAATGGCCCCTGCAGGACAATGTTCAGAGAATGGCTAGCACTTAGTTGAAAGGCAAAGGGACTTTCCTCGATATCAAGCAACCTAGGGGTACACAAGTACCAAGTGTAAAGAACATTGCATCAGCAACAGAACTGAGGGGTGGCAGTTATCAGTACTAATAGGTTGGCGCTCATTAGAGTGATTCGCTCATTTCTACTGAATAGTTTTGCAGAGCCATTAGCTTTAGCCATTTTGGTGATTTTTTTTTCTATAAACCTTGCAACCGTCTGTAAAGCTCCTCTTGAGTTTCTGTTTGTTTTCCAACAGAACTCAACAATGCTTTTCCATGTTAATAGTCCACACTCCCTGTGCCTCTTTTGATAGGGGGGCTAGGTTCTGGGCGCTGGTCTCAGGTAGGCTAAACAGGACTCATACGACTGATGTGAACTAGTAGTGGGGAGCCATCTCGGAGAGATAGCTTCAGGAAACCACCAAAGGGCTACCCCAGAGAAAAAGGGAACATAAAACAAAAATTTGAGTTAATTTTTTGGTAGTTACTATATATTTATTGGTTTTACTGGAATGTGTTTATAATATCATTATCATGGAAACACTTATGACCTGGGATTGAGTTACTTGATCATATTTTCTTTTAGCAAATACAGACTATAAAAACTTTTTCTGGGGGAAGCCCCTTCGGCTCTCCAGAGCTATCCAGACTGATATGAATGTATTAGACTGTGGCATCGGTCAAAGCGAATGGAGCTCTTATGCCTACCAGGGACCATGAGCCAGAACCTGGCCCCTTCAGAGAGGCACGAGGAGAAATGAGCTACTGTTCCTCGTGCCTCTCTGAGAGGGCCAGGTTCTGGCTCGTGATCCCCGGTAGGCATAAGAACGCCATTCGCTTTGACTGATACCACAGTCTAATACATTCATATCAGCCTGGATAGCTCCGGGTCTCGCCCAGAAAATGTCTTTTCATTACATTCAACACTGGTTTTGTTCCATTAAAATTTTTCTCTTCTCATTTATTTCAGAAATATGAATGTGATCTTTGTGAAGAAGTCTTTGATAGATTGAAACGTCTCATGTCACACCGAAAGAAACACCACCGAGCCAGCTTGTCTTGTAAAATGTGCACAAGCAAGTTTACACATTATGCTAGCTATCGCATCCATATGAGAGTCCACAAAGGTGAAAAACCTTATGTGTGTCAGGAATGTGGTGCTGCCTTTGTACAAAGTGGTCATCTTAATATTCACAAGAGAACACATACCGGTGAGAAACCTTACACATGTGATATTTGTAATAGTAATTTTAAGCAAATTTCACATTTGAAGACTCACGTTAGAACCCATACTCAGGTTAAACCGTATCAGTGTGATGAATGTGAGGCTTCATTTACACAAAATAGTAGTTTGAAACGGCATCGGCGGTCCCACACAGGTGAAAAGCCATATAAGTGTGCATTCTGTGATATGACTTTTGTAGTTAAGAGCAATATGCAAAGACATTTATATACTCACACTGGTGAGAAACCATATCAGTGTGACTTATGTCCAGCCTCTTTTGGACAAGCGATTGATTTGAAAAGGCACAAGATCAGCCATACAGGAATAAAACCCTTTAAATGTGATCAGTGTGATGCAGCATTTAGTCGCAAGAATAACCTTAAGTGGCATCAGATGACTCACAGTGGCAACACTCCATTTAGATGTGAAGTCTGTCAAGTAGGGTTTTCTTCGCCTGGTGATCTCAAAGTACACAAACGAATTCATGCACCTCCTAAACCATTCCGCTGTGAATCATGCCCAGCTTCCTTCCAGCAGTTTAGTTCCCTTACTCGTCACAAGATGATACATACAGGTGAGAGACCCCTGAGAAAAAAACCGGAAAATAAACCAGGGTCATTTAAAGAAACTGGAATTAAACCATATGCCTGCGAGATTTGCAATGCAACTTTCTGTGAGAAACGAAATCTTAAAAGGCACATTATATCTCTGCATGATGATGTGCAACGGATAGTTGGAAACACACTTAATGATGCAGAAATTAAGGAAGAAGGAGTAATTGATAAATTTATAAAGCTACAGCAACCAGTTCAGATAAAAAAGAGACCTCCAGAACAAATTACATATACTATTAACTACCAAAATCCAGTGGTGATCACTCAGCCACAGCAGCATCACCATATACAGCATCACCAAGAAGGTCAACAAGAAATACAGCAGCCAAGTATTACCTTGCAGCATGTAGTCATACAGCAGCCTATGAACACAGAGGAAGTGATAACAGGAGGTACTCAAACCATTACACACATGCCACAGCTGATGCTTGCTCAAGGCCCTGGGCAAGCTCCTAAGCCTGCTAAACCTGCTAACAACTGCCAAAATCATCATGCACATGTTTTGACTTTTATAGAAGGAAGCTACAATCAGTGGCAAACTTGGTGCTTCTGTGACCCCCCAAACCTAATAGACCAATCTAGTCAAATCATCAGCACCGTCCCTACAGCCAATGCCATAATAACTGCTCCACCCTCCACAGTCATCCCTCCGGATGCTTCTCCTGCAGCTACAGTTACATCTGCTGTAGCTGTGTCCACTGTTACAAATTCTCCATGTGCAACAGTAGAACAATTGGAAGGTCAAATAATTCCTGCACAAATACAGGTACAAATTCCCATAAACAGCACACAGTCCACGGTCGTTAGGGAAGATGTGCTACGGGGATGGTTAGGTGGTTGGAATAAATGTTAATTATATGTAAATTTTATGAATAATATTTTAATGTATTCTGTTATATTATTAGTGTAGTTTATCATATAGGTAATTTTATTTTCAGAGTTTAAAAGGCATTAGATTATATTTCGTGTATGGTCAGGTTGGGAAGTAGACGCTTTTTTTATATGTAAATGTGCTATATTTATTTTGTACTGTGCAAATATGTATTTGGAAATAGTAGTATAACTAAAGAAAAATGGTAAAATGATGCTGAAATATTTAGAAACAAGAATACCAAAAATTGTCTATGGTTAAGGTATTGTGCCAAGACTATGATATAAGAGATGTTATCAAATTTTACTAAATTTGTTTTATCTTACCACTGTATTGACTTTTTAGCAAAATTTTGTATTACAAATACTGTTTGTAGCAACTAATTTTGTTATAATAAATTTATTTACTTACATTCCAGCCAGAGTAAAAAGAAAAAGATACATTCCTTATTATGAAAAGGTAGTATTTATGGCATGCTAAAGCTTGAGGCCTGTGCAGATTAGAACCAGAATTAACCAGACACATCATCTGTATACATTATTACAACATATACTAATTTTATGTGCAAAATTATCTTTCTCCGTATGCTGTACTTTTAATGGAGAACAAAAATATGTAATGAAGCTGTATTTTTCAGCTTCCGTTATCAGTTTATCAGCTTGGGGCCTGACAGTTGAGTGGACAGCGTTTGGAATTCGTAGTCCTAAGATTCCGGGTTCGATCCCCGGCAGAGGCAGAAACAGATGGGCAGAGTTTCTTTCACCCCTGATGCTCCTGTTCACCTAGAAGTAAATAGGTACTTGGGAGTTAGACAGCTGTTACGGGCTGCTTCCTGGGGGGTGTGTAACAAAAAAAGGAGGCCTGGTTGAGGACCGGGCCATGGGGACACTAAGCCCTGAAATCATCTCAAGAAGATCAAGAAGATCACTGAGAGCACAATTTGTAATTACATTGTTCATTTAGTAAATAGTAAAATCAAATAGAGTGAATATAATAAGACATGTATTTTGTAATATTTTCTTAAAATGTAATATCTGTAGGTGGTTTATCTTGGGAAATGACATAGGTAATTATACACACGTATCACTCTCAACAGCTTATAATGTGAGCGGATGTGCTGGTTTCTGCTGATGACTCTGATATCAAAAGACTTCAAGCTTGCTCGTGACACTGTAAACGATTATTAATAAAACACATACTGTCCTTTTAATTATAATTGATGTAGGCTTTTAGTTAAGTGTGATTTTTGTAGGATTGTCATAATGCCTGCACTTTTTTTTCAGCTTGAAAATTGTTATAAATTATAATTTTAGATGAAGTATACATGTACACAGTTACTGTGCTTACAGTATTTATATTCTAGCAAATATGTAATTACATTTGTGTGTATGTTTATTTGCATGCTCACATGCATATGTGTACATATGTGCTTTGTGTATATCTTTGCATGCATATTTGCATATTTGCATATATATATATATATACATGTACAGTATATGTATATGTATATGTATATGTTTAAAACAATTATTTCTTATGATTCAATTCGAATCTCTTGTGATAATGTTTATAAAATGTATTTATTGGTTTACAGATTATTTGTTTTAATTTTGTCAAAATTTATTTTGTGAAGTATTGTTCATGTATATTATATATAATAGAAATACTAATTATTTATGATACATAGTTACACCTGTTAGATATCACTGTCATTAGTTTTAACCATTCAGATGGAATGTCAGTTAATGACCAAGATTATTTTTTCAAGTGAACTTTATAGAAAAATCTATTTCTAGTCTTTCCATAGTTTTGTAGGTAAATTTGTTTTCCAAAGGTAGCATAATTCACAGGTTAGAATTAGGAAAAAGAAAAAGTTTTATATGTTAAAGCAAAAATCATCGACACCTTTCGTATCATCAGAAGTTTGATACTTTAAACATTAAAATAAGTGTACTGTACTGTACATGTATGTGAAAATTCAAGAGACAAATACTGGAAACCCACTTGACATACACTTTAGTCGTTGTCAGATCAACTGATGAATACAGTATAGCCTCAGGTTGAATTTGGAAAGTTTTTAAGACATTTTTTCTCCTCCATATTCCTAACTTCAACATATTTTATGCCATAATTCTTCTTATTTATTTCATTAGTTATTCTTATTGTCTGGTCTTCTTTTCTAGTGTTGGCTCCCTGGAGCTATCCAGGCTAATGTGGATATATATTAGCTTTCTGGCATCAGACAAAGTGCATGGAGTTCTTGTCTACCAGGGACCACGAGCCAGAACCTTGCCCCCTCAGAGAGGCAGAAGGAACAATGGCCTATAGAAACCCCCCCCATGTGGTTGGGAGAATTCTATGTCTGCCATTAACCGGGTCTGGCACCCAGAAAGGTAGCCACCCCAAAACAAACCCCCTATTCTGATGAAAATATTGCTACCAAAAGGCGAACGAGTGGACAGAATTTCCCAAACGAAAATTAGCAAACGAGTATGACGTCATCACATTGCTGCGCCGGGAGGGGGAAGGGGGAGCCCCAGACCCTGACACTGGTGATCCACCCTTCAGTTCTTGGCTGGTATGATACTGGCAGGTCATCTGCCTCTGGCTCCTGGTTTGGTCTCAGTTTCTGTGCCATGTGACATGGTCTGTCTCTACAGGTGGTGTGCAAGCCAGGAGTAATATTCTACAGTACTTGGGCTGCATGCACCTAGGGTTTCCTTTCCTAGATGCCCAGTAAGTACTGCCCTTGGGGCTTGGGACCACCTTCCATAAGTCGCCTTGGGATCTACCTCTTCTGTGTCTTTTACTGTTCGGTACTTGGCCACCCTTGGAGTCAGCTGGGGTCTTTGTTGCCTTTGTTTGCCTCTGGGTAGGAGGTGGTTTTCGTCACTGGTAGGGGTGCAGGGTACTGCACAGCTAGTTTTCACCTATTATAGCGGCCGGGTCTGTTCTACTTGGGTACATTGTCCTTTTGCAGGGTTTTATTTTGTTTTTGTTTTCCTGCCTGGTGGGGGTCTGCCTTTGTTTGGTTACCCCTATCTACATTTAGGTACAGGTATATATCCATATTGGTCTTCTTAGTGGTACTTTCCTAGAGTCGTGCGACGTTTGTTGTTTGTACGTGCTCCAGTTCACCCAAGCTACTGAACGGGATATGTGGGGTGCAGGCAGCTGAGGCATTGCATGCTCAGTTTAGATTGCTGCAATGCAATAAGTTGGTTGCTTCCCCTGATGCCCCAAGACTGCCCCATTTTGGTTATAGGGATCCGGACTAGGGGTGGGAGTCTCTTCGACTTTTGTTCCGTCCGTCCTTCCTTGTCCTTCCCTTTCGGGTGTTCCTCCGGTTTCCCCTTCCTCCCTGCTTCCGGCTCCGAAACGTCTGAGGGTTTTGGAGTCAGGGCAGGGTTTAGTTGGTGTTGAGACTTGGGCGGTCTCGGGGGAGTCCCCTTCTGGGGTGGCGGCGGAGACATTCGAGCCTAGTCCTCCAGCCGGAGCTTCTGGGTCTGACCAGCGGACTCCCCTCCTTCATTCCTGCTTTTTCGGCTGCTCCTGCCTTTTCTTTGGAGGTGGGGGGGGGGGGGGGGGGGGGGGGGGGGAGGGTTGGAGGACATCTCAGCTTCGGGTCCTTGGAGTGAGGTTCTCGGGACAGGGAAGGGGTTGACTTGGGGGCCTTGGGCCCCATTGAACCCAGCCTGGGTTTTTGTACCCTTGGAGCGAGGCTTGGTGTTACAAGGAAAGGGGGTTCTCTTTTGCTCCCTCCTTGTACGAATTGGATTTGGTGTTGACCCCTTCCCGGGTTCGGTTCCGTGATTCCGTGGGCTCTTCGGTCCCGTCCTTCAGGAGGTTTTCGGCTTCCCGCGTCCAGTCCCATGTTGTGCAGGAAGCCCTTGTGGCTTATCTCCTGTGAAACCCAGATTATGCTTTCGTGATGGATTCGTGTATGGATATTCGTGTCCATACGGGGTTTGTTATGAAGTTCCGGAATCGTCCTGGTTAGCAGACTGCCCTCTCTTCTTGTTGGAGGCTTAGCATATGTTCTGTTGGTCCCGCACGCTTGAGTGGAGGGAGGCTTAAACGGTGTTGCAGGTTTTCCTGGGGTGGGGGGCGAATTTAAGCATCTCAATGCGTGTTTGTTCACCACTGCCCTTCTGCAGGATGTTGGTGTGATGCAGCTTCACATGCAGGTTCCTTCCCTTTCGGCTGCTTTGGGCACAGAGGATTTGTGCGCATGTGGCCTGTTGGCTTCGGCCCTGCGGTTCTTCTCCCTTCTCAAGCTGTCCCGAGACTTGCTTGAATTGGATGTGGAGGAGCTTGGGGCCACTTCTGGGTCTGGTGTGTTGCCCTCGACGGTATGTGCATCATCTGCATTGTTGAAGTGGTTCGCGCCGCTCCTGCGAGATGCGGTTTCGCGTTTTTTTGCTTCTCGTCTTGTATGTTGGCAAGCGGTGCTCGCATCTTTCTTGGAATTCTCTTGGGCCCTGGCTCTTAGGTTGTCTTCTCCTTTTTGTCTGTATCTGTTTGCAGAGTCTGCAGTTGTGCAGTATCTGCAGGCAGCTTCGGCTAGTTGCCGTCTAATGTCAGACTTACTAGTCTTCCGGGGGGGCCTCGTGGGGGAGCCTTCCCAGAAGGGTCGTGCCTGGGCTTGGGGTTCTTCCTATTGTGGTAGGCCAGTGGTGCTAGATTCGGCGCAGGCACAGCCTTCGGTACTGTCTGTTCCAGTTCGGCACGGAGATCACCTTGTGCGCCGCCGCTTAGGTTCTCGTACGGTGCGTCGGCCCTCTCATGGTTCATCCCATTGACTGGGCGATGAGGGGGAAGCTTGCTCTGTTTGCTCGTGCCTGGCCTCACGATTTGTGGACCTTTCGGGTCATTCCGTGTGGTCTGTGGTGGCGTTGGGTGGCTCCTCCTCCTTCGGAGGGTTCGGGGCTGGCGGGGCAGGCCTCTTCTTCTGCGCTCTGTCGAGTCATCTCAGAGTGGGTTTTCTTGGGCTTGGTCGAAACAACCTCATCCCTCAGGTGGGTTTCCCACCTGTTTCTGGTCCCGAAACAGGACTGAACTCGCTGGGCTCGGGTTCCTGGTGAACTGGAGGAAGTCCCATCTGGTTCTCTCTTTGGTTTGGTCTTGGCTTGGCTCTTCAGCTTCAGCGTGTGGGACACTTGGACCTCTTCCTTGTTTCTTCCTCCGGCTGCTTTGCTTCGGCTGCGTTCCCATCTTCGTCTGTTCCTGAGGGGCTCCCGGGTCACGTGGCGGTTGCTTGAGGGTTTGTGCGGGAGCCTGAACTTTACCATGATGGGCTACCCGCCGGGTCGGGTGTGGCTTTATCGACTGTTCTGATTCCTTCAGGGACGTCCCTTCCACCTCTCACAACTGCTGGGTTCGGCCTCCAGGGGCCGTCAGTTGCTGCGTCGCCGGCTTCCTCTGTTTTTTTTTTTTTGGCTTCAGTGCCTTTGTTCAGTACCCTCCCTTCGGTCGGTGGTGTTTTTTGCGTATTTTGACATCCATCCTTAGAACTGAAAGGTGGATCGCCGGCATGAGGGTCGGGCTCCCCTGGGAATTGTGCAGACAGCGGCAACTTGATGATATCATGCTCGTTTGCTAATTTTTGTTTGACAAGTTCTGTTCACTCGTTTGGCTTTTGGTAGCAATATTTTCACCAGAATAGGAGTTTGTTTTGGGGCGCCTATCTCTCTGGGTGCCAGACCCGGTCCATGGCAGACATTGAATGCCACCAACCACACAGGGGTTTCCATAGGCCATTGCTCCTCATGCCTCTCAGAGGGGTCCCT